TCCCTCTATTTCCTGGCCTGTTCCTGAAAGCCTCAGGTGCCCAAGACCTGCTCCCCCTGGGCTGCTACTGCAAGCAGCACCCTGCAGCCCCAAAGCCTTGAGCTGGGCAGGCCAGCTGCAGAGGGTGGACTGGAGCCCTCAGGTACAGACATGGAGGCCAAGCCTTCAGGAAAGGACTGGAGGTGGCACCCTGATGGTTCTGGAAGGGGGTGTGGGTGGGAGCAGTCAGTGTGAGGCAGGGAGAGGGAGGACCCCCCAACCCAGCTCATCTCACACCATTTCTGCTCCTTGTTGTTGACCCAGAGCAATGAGGCGGGGTCCAGGAATAACCCTGACCTGAGGTCACAACCCATGGAAAGCACCAAAGCCCAGCATGAGCCAGCCCTGCCCTCTGGTGACAGTGGCCTTGTAAATGACTTCCCCTCTTTGAGTGTCACTTCCTGTCCTTAAAGTGGAGAGGAGAACCTCTGAAGGAAGAAGTGAGGCACAAACAAGGTGACCAGAGGTGGCACTGGCCCTGGGGAAGCGCCCACTCCTACAGGGTGCCTGCTGGTGGCCATATGCCCCAGGCCAGACAGGGGCTCTGCTCAGCAGTGAGCTGCTTCTGAGGGGGCATTTCCTCCTGTCCCAACGTGTCTGCACATCGCCTGCCTGCTCCTCACTCTATGCCAGAGAAGATTGAGGCCCAAACTTGTCAGGCAGCATACCGAAAACCACAGAATCAGTTGCTCACAGAACTGGGATTTGTTCCTAGATGTATTGACCCCAGACCTGGTATTTTAACCCTTTCTCTATGTATAAAATTGAACCAGAAGGCGAAACAGAAAACCTCAGGATGGCATGGTCATGAAGACAGGAAGCTCCTGTGGCTAAAATGAGAGCCTCTGAGGCCAGATGCTAGAATTCTATTCTGTATTCACTATGTGACCTTGGACAAGTTACTCACCTTTCTGAATCTCAGTTTCCTACAGGTCATAAGGATGCACTTCTTTATAGTGCTATTGTGCAAATTAAACATGCATAAAATGCTAAGAAATACTGTTGCACAGTGAGCTCTCAAGGAGTCCCATTTGGCAGGGTGTAGTGACACATTCCTATAATCCCAGTGGCTCAGGAGGCTGGGACAGGAGGATCACAAGTTCAAAGACAGATTCATCAACTTAAGCATCCTAGTGAGACCCAGTGTTAAAATAAATTTCTTTTAGGAAAAAGGCTGGAGATATGGCTCAGTGTTCCAGGGCCCTGCGTTCATTCCCGTGGAATAAAAAAAAAAAAAAAAAGGAGCAGCCAACTGATACAGTGAGGCTCCTTCCCAGGCATTGTATGGGAATCTGGCCTCTTTGGCCCAGGTCATTTTACAATCCCTCATCTGCAAAATCCAGTGGCTTAAAAATGTAACCCAACACTCCAGAATCCAGGCTGGTGACAATGAGGTAAGAGAATGAAAACAATTTTCTAGGCTTTGCTCCGTGGCTCCAGAGGCTGAGCTACAGTCCAAGGTCACAGAGCAGCTGAGAGGCCTCCAGGCCAGACCAGGCTTCCTATTCTCCAACTAGGGCCCGAGCCCCGAGAGAAGCATTCACCAGTAGGCCCAGGTCAGCAGCATGGGCTCTGGAGCCCAGTGCCTGAGTTTGAGTACTGGGCACTGAGTGATCTGGAGCAAGTTTTCCACCTCTGGGTTCCCAGTTTCCCATCTGTAAATGGGAATGACCACAGAACCACCTCAGAGGGGCTGTGAGGCTGAAATGTGTTCTTATGTGCACTGAGCTCAGCGGCGGCTGGCTCAGAGTGGTCAATGGGGAAGGTCAGCTTGAACCCCATGAAGGTGGCCTTCCCAGGGCTCCCATTCCATGAGTCTACAAGGTGGGCTCAGAACCACTGCCCGTAGGGGGGTTGTTCGGTTCTGTCCCTGGGCACATCTGGAGGGGATGGAAGGTACCAGCCGGCTCCTGACTGCCCTCTGTGGCCTTCTGTCCTCATCTGCAGAAGGGGAGGAAGGTCCTCACCCAGGCAAAGGGGCTGCAGTGGCTGCCAAGAGACAGTGGCGGGAAAGACCAGGCCACCAGAGCCAATGTTCCCGCACCTCGGCTCCCCAGGGCTGTGAGCTAGGTGCCCTCTGCCACTGCTCGTACTTTATTTAGAGACAGGGTCTCACTGAGTTGCTTATCGCCTTGCCATTGCTGAGGCTGGCTTTGAACTCCTGATCCTCCTGTCTCAGCCTCCTGAGCCACTGGGATTACAGACATGCACTGCCACAGTCTGGCTGGGCACAAATGCCGCAGTCTGGCTGGGCACACAATCACGAGCCACCACACAGCTTGTAGATTCAAACAGCATCTCTTTATTCCCAAACTCACACCAGCCATCTACAATCATGTTCTGGGGAAATCCACATTCTCTGCCCAAATCCACCTCCACTGGGCTTCTATCTCCAAAATATACTGTCTGAATCCCGTGAGAACTCAAGGGGAACTCAGGCAGCAGGATACGCCCTATTCCCAGCAGGAATAATCTTAAACCTTAAACCTGGAACCTAAACTGGGAACGCCCTAAACACGATTATCTTAAAACCGGGAACACCCTAATCTGCCTTGGTCCTTGAGCAAGGTCACGTACATTCAATGTCACTGCAACATGGGGTACGCTGGCAAGGAAATTGTCATACCTACTTGGCTAATGGCTCCCAGCAGTTCTGAGCCCACCTTGTAGACTCATGGGAATGGGAGCCCTGGGAAGGCCACCTTCATGGGGTTCAAGCTGACCTTCCCCATTGACAACTCTGAGCCAGCCGCCGCTGAGCTCAGTGCACATAAGAACACATTTCATCCTCACAGCCCCTCTGAGGTGGTTCTGTGGTCATTCCCATTTACAGATGGGAAATTGGGAATCCAGAGGTGGAAAACTTGCTCCAGATCACTCAGTACCCAGTATTCAAACTCAGGCACTGGGCTCCAGAGCCCATGCTGCTGACCTGGGCCTACTGGTGAATGCTTCTCTCGGGGCTCGGGCCCTAGTTGGAGAATAGGAAGCCTGGTCTGGCCTGGAGGCCTCTCAGCTGCTTTGTGACCTTGGTCTGTAGCTCAGCCTCTGGACCAATGAGCAAGGCCTAGAAAATTCTTGGTTTTCTTCCTCTTACCTCATCGTCACCAGCCCGAGTGTTTGGTTAGATTTTTCTGCCACTGGATTTGGAGATGGGGGCTGGGAAGACGACCAGGGTCAAGGAGGCCACATTGCCATACAATGCTGGGAAAGAGCCACACCAAATCAATCAGCTGATGTTTTTTTTTTTTTTAGTAATGGGTGCTGTCCCCAGCACCAAAAAAAGAAAAAAAGAAAAAGAAAAGAAGCAAAACAAAAGCAACAATTAACATGACATTTAGTAAATGTGACAATGATGGTGACCCTGGGCTGATGTCTGCTCTGTCATAGAGTGATGAGCAGGCAGGCGATGTGCAGACAGGTGGGGACAGGTGGAAATGGCCCCTCAGAAGCAGCTCACTGCTGAGCAGAGCCCCTGCCTGCTCTGGGGCAAGTGACCACCAGCAGGTAACCTGCAGGAGTGGGCGCTTCCCCAGGGCCAGTGCCACCTCTGGTCACCTTGTTTGTGCCTCACTTCTTCCTTCAGAGGTTCTCCTCCCCACTGTAAGGACAAAAAGGGGAAGTCATTTACCAAGGCCACTGTCACCAGGGGGCAGGGCTGGCTCATGCTGGGCTTTGGTGCTTTCCATGGGTTGTGACCTCAGGTCAGGGCTCCTTCCTGGACCCAGCCTCCTTGCTCTGGGTCAACAACGAAATGGTGTGAGATGACCTGGGTTGGGGGTCCTCCCTCTCCCCTGCCTCACACTGACTGCTCCCACCCACACCCACTTCCAGAACCATCAGGATGCCACCTCCAGTCCTTTCCTGAAGGCTTGGCCTCCATGTCTGTACCTGAGGGGCTCCAGTCCACCCTCTGCAGCTGGCCTGCCCAGCTCAAGGCTTTGGGGCTGCAGGGTGCTGCCTCCAATAGCAGCCCAGGGGGAGCAGGTCTTGGGCCCTGAGGCTTTCAGGAACAGGCCAAGAAATAGAGGGAACCCAGCAGGAAGCTTGGGGTCACTGTCAGGGCCCGGGTCTGACATCCATGAAGCCTGGATCCCACGGGCAGGACTGTCTCAGCCCCTGGTCCCAGAGGAGAAAACCAAGGCTTGTTCCACCTTTGCCTCAGCTTCTCTGTGCAGCCTTGGCCAAGCCCTGACCCCCTCTGGGCCTCAGACCCTCACTCTAAAGGGAAAAATCCAAGTACGAGATGTGACATGGGAGATAGAATGAGGTGCTCACCTGGGCTGGAAACCTTCCCCCACCTCCCCCTGCAGCCTCTCACCTCCTGACAGACACCCCTGTAATGTACAGTCCAATGTTTGTGCACAGAGGACGTCATTCATTTGGGTCTCTCCCAACGCCCCTTCATTCAAATTGAGAGTCTAGTCCTAGGTCAGTGCTTTCTCAGATCCTTGCTCAAGGCCAAGGGTATAGCAGTGGCCCTGCACAGACATGAAGCCAAAGCCTCTGGCCCTGAAGCCACTCATCATATGTCCCTACCCTGCTGAGATCCACCCATCTCCTGACCTCAGGCTCTGAAAGATGGTGTGGGCTCAGCCAAGCCCAGCCGGGCAGCACAGAGACAGCCAGAGAGAGGTGGGCTGGGAAGATGACCAGGGTCAACATGTGCCAGTGCCTGCCAGTGCCTGAGCTGGTCCCATACAACACTTGCTGGCCAACTCTGGACATGCACCTGAACCCCTCTAGGCTTCGGAGGAGAGCAGTTGTCCCCACAGGACTGTGAAGGAAGCAGAGAATTCACACCCTTTAGGGCTCAGGGCAGCTCTGCGTCTCCCTGGGGGTTTGCAGTGATGCAGGTGGAGGAAGGGCTTGGCACAGGCTGGGCCGTCTTGGAGCTCACTACATCCTGGTGGCTCTGCATGGTGTCCGTCCAAGCCAGAGAGAGTCATTGTGGGCAGAACTCAGGCCTCTGACTTCCTCTGCCTTGCAGGACGATGCCGTCCTCTATCTCCTGGGGCCTCCTGCTGCTGGCCGGCCTCAGCTGCCTGGCTGCTGGCTGCCTGATTGAGGATTCTGAGGAGTCAGATGCATCCAAGCATGACCAGGAGAACTCAGCCTCCCACAGGATTGCCCCAAACCTGGCCGAGTTTGCCTTCAGCCTCTACCGTGTGCTGGCCCATCATTCCAACACCACCAACATCTTCTTCTCCCCTGTGAGCATCGCCACGGCCTTGGCCTCGCTCTCGATGGGCACCAAGGCTGAAACTCACACCCAGATCCTGGAGGGTCTGGGCTTCAACCTCACGGAGACTGCAGAGGCTGACATCCACCAGGGCTTCCAGCATCTTCTCCAAACCCTCAACAGGCCCAACAGCCAGCTCCAGCTGACCACCGGCAGCGGCCTCTTCATTGACCACAATCTGAAGCTGCTGGACAAGTTCTTGGAGGATGTCAAGAACCTGTACCACTCAGAGGCCTTCTCCACCAACTTCACAAACACTGAAGAGGCCAAGAAGCAGATCAACACTTATGTGGAGAAAGGGACCCAAGGGAAAATTGTGGATTTGGTGAAAGATCTGGACAGAGGCTCAGTTCTCGCCCTAGTGAACTACATTTTCTTCAAAGGTAAGATGAGTCAATCAGCCTGGGTGGGTTCCCATGGAAACCCCAAAGCTGTTTTCCATCCACCAGTTCTGGAACTTTCCTTGGCAGCACTGTCTGTGCTGTGGCAGGGCCTCTCACAGTGGCTCCTCAATCTTCCATGCCTAAGCCCTGAAATGTCTTCCACCTTCAGTTAAGTTAGGGAAGAGTTGATAAAATCATCAAAATCATTGACTTTTCTGCAGGCCACATCAGAGTCCTGACTGACCTCCTGCTCACTGGGGACCCCAGCAGGGAAGGGCACCTGTAATGTTTCCTAACTAGAGAGCCACTGATGCACATTGTGGCAGGTGGTGGGAGGGAGTGGCCTTTCATGGAAAGTCCTTGGAACAACTCTTGATGTGGAGTGTGGCAGCTGGGGGTGTGCAGGACCTGGGTCCACATCCTGCCTCCCCCACTCAATGGCCTTGACATAGGACTAGCCATCTCACCTCTTTGGGATGTGACTGTCCTAACTTGTCATGGACAAAGCTGTCAGGATCTAGAAATCCCGCTGATCCTCTAGTCTTGAACGACACTCACCCCATCACCCAGGATGGAGCAGAGGTGGGTGAGGAGCTTCCCCCCAGGCAGGCTGAGGGCGCCTCTGCTCTCCTCTCACATCCAAGCCTCCCTCCTACCTGCTGCCATCCACCTTCCCTCTGTCCAGGCACATGGGAGAAACCCTTCAAGGTAGATCGCACCATGGAGCAAGACTTCCATGTGGACCAGGCCACCACCGTGAGGGTGCCCATGATGAACCGCCTGGGCATGTTTGACCTGCACTACTGCCCCACGCTGTCCAGCATGATGCTAAAGATGAACTACCTGGGCAATGTCACCGCCATCTTCATCATGCCCAAGGTGGGGAGAATGGAGTATGTGGAGGACACCATCACGAAGGAATTCCTCGACAAGTTCCTGAAAAAAGATTATACCAGGTGATTCCAGGCAGAGACCCACTGGACGGCACAGGCACAGACTCAAGGTCCCTCAGGACCAATGCATCAGAAGACAGCACGGGCAGCAGGGGGGACCATCCCTGAGGCCACAGCTACAGTGAATGACCCTGTGCTACAGGAAATGCCAGGGCTCAGCTCAGGTAGCAGCTGAGAAGGGACAGTGGTCAAAGAGCAGGACACAGATCCAGCTGGAGGGGGACTTCCCTCCAAGAATGGTCCCCTCCCAATATCCAGGGCCTCGCCGGGGCACTGACACTAGCACATGTTGTGGCAGAATCAAGGACAAAGGCCTGGGCCTGCAGGTTAGGGCAGCAAGAGGGAGGACTTGCTGTAGGACCGACCGAGGTGCACAGGGGAAGCGCCTGCATGGAAAGGCCCAGAACAGGAACAGGCAGCACTGGGAGCTCAGGGCACGTTCCCACAGGCTCCATTTCTCTGTCGCAACTCAGGCTGGTCCACTTGTCCCAGGATTCACACAGCTGGGGTATGTGACACAGAGCAGGTGAACTGTCCTGAGCCCAGGCTTGGCCACTGGTGACGGAGACACACTGCAGACAGATGTGACACACATGTGCAGGTTAAGCTGCACTTGGATGGTCACCATTGCTGGCCCACCCAGCCTCCTGAGGTCCCTGCACACGGGCTGGGAACAGAGTGCAGTGCATCCTGGGACTGGTCCCTGAGGCTTGGTGCCAGTGTGCAGCCTCAGCACAGGTCCCTGGGGAAAAGCAGATGAGCCTGCATCCTTGGGTTTTGGAGGTGACAATTCTCCCCGTCACTGAGCCTGCTGCACTGACCCATGATGCCCTGGGCCACAGGCCCTGGGGAGGCTCTGGCTTGGCAGGCTGGTGTGACCACAGGCTTCAAGATGGCATTCGCTTCCAGGAGGACACCCTGAAACTGCCTGGAAGGCTCCTTGGGGGAGGGGGTGAGAAGGGGCCACAGGACAAGATGTTCCCACTGACGGGAACATTCTCCATGCCAAGTGTCCAGGAAGCTAAAGGTAAAAGGACTTCTTACTTTAAAGGTAAAAGTCAAAGGACTTCGATGGCTGTGGGTGGGGACAGGGCAGGACGCAAGATAACCAATCAGGAGAGAAAACACTTTCAGGGCACCATAGGGCCCAGCAGAACCCCAGAGACTCTGTGAACCCATCTTTTCCTATCTTCATATCAGCAAAGCCACAGTACACTTCCCCAAACTGAGCATCTCTGGAACCATCGATCTGAAGTCTGTCCTAACAACTCTGGGCATCACCAAGGTCTTCAGCCATGAGGCTGACCTGTCTGAGATCACGGAGGATGCTCCCCTAAGGGTCTCCCAGGTGAGAATGGCCATGGTCCAGGGGTCTGCAGGACAGAGTGGTGGGGGCCTGCTCAGGTCTGAGGCTGAGGGAGGGGTCAAGGGACACAGCAAGGGCCAGGTGAGTCCTCCTGAGGATGCTGAGCTTCACCAGCTCTGATGGGGGAGGAGGACAGAGCCAGGGAGGTGGCCTCCTGTGTTCCATCCAAGGACCTCCCTGAGTGGCCCACTGACTCTTACATTTTCCTTTCCCCAGGCCATGGAATCCTTGGGCTTCTGTTTAAGCACATTAACACTGAGAGGCTTAGGCTCAGTATCTTCATAGAATGTTCTGGAATCTTCCATCTGTGACATTTAGAGTTATTTGTGAACCAGCAAATCTGAATCATTCCTGTGTCCAGTGGGCCACTTCCTGGGGAAAACAGGAGGGGACCAAGGGCAACTGCAAGTCCATGTGGGTGGCTTCCTATAGGGGTCTGGGCACTGGGAAGGTCACCACCAGAGTCCCTGTGATGAGGACCTCCTAGCCCTACAGGGGGAAGGGGATGCACGTGCAGGTGACATGGAGGCTGATGGTCTTCCTCTTGTGCCCTGAGGTCACATCCAAGGACAGGAGAGATGGAGGTCAGGAAAGGAGGGGGAGGGGAGCAGTCTGAGTCAGGAAGAGGCTGAGATGGGGTTAGGGGGACCTGAGTGACCCACAGGGAGGCCTAGGACAGGACAGGCTGGTCCAGCAGGAAGGCCCTGGTGAGGTCCTGTTGGTAGGAGGCTCCCACGTGGGGCCTTGCTGCAGCCTGGGGTGGGGCAGCAGGACCTCAGAGCCCTCTGCTTCTCTCCCCTCCAGGCCCTGCATAAGGCTGTGCTGACCATCGATGAGAAAGGCACAGAGGATGAAGGGGACACCGTTAAGGGACCCATGGCCCTGACTCTTGCCCCTCAGGTGAAATTCAACAGTCCTTTCCTCGTGATCATCTATGAGCACTCCACCAAGAGCCCCCTCTTTGTGGGGAAGGTGGTGAACCCCACACAACAGTAGCCACCTCGGGTGCCAGACCCTGGTCCCTGCCCTGCTGGGCCCCTCCCAGATGTCATTAAACAATGGTTGGCCTGGCCGACCCTGACGTTGTGGTCTCTGTGTCTCCCTGTGTGTCCTGAGGTCATGTGAGGACTCCTGGTCACAGCAGCTCTTGGTGACACTGTGTCATGTCTGTGAGGTTCCTGTGCTGTGCAGGCAGGTGCTGGTCAAGGGTGACTGGCTGAGGCCAAGTCCTGTGGGCCGGGGCATGTCCATCCTGAGAACTGTACTCCTGTTTGGAGTTGCCATGTCCCCTGTGTCCTCCCCCTCCTGCCACACCCCATGTCCCCAGTGCCCTCCCCTCCAGCCACACCCACCTCTCTCAGTGACCCCCAGGTAACCCCCTCAGGGAGGACTCAATGATCGGCTTTAGGTCCTCACAACCCTCATTTCTCCTCTGAACCGTCTTACAGTGTTTCCCTCGTGAGCTTTGGGGACAACTCACATCACCGCTCACACTGGCTTTGAGTAGCTGTGACTACAGCCATAGCAGGGAGGTGACCATGCCCCCTCTCACCACACTGTCCCCTCACCAGACCTGACTGCTGGCCTCACAGGGCATGTCCTAGGGGGGTTGGAGGAGGTGGTGAGGAGCCTTCCTCAATGGGCTGGGCCAGGACCTGACCTCTGTCCTTGTCTTTCCATAGCTGCCCAGGAGGCTCACATGTCCCCTCTTGGAAGAGCCCCTGTCCCCAGTGAGCAGGAGGGGCTCTGTGTCACTGTCTCCCCCTCAAGCCCACCTGGCCCCAGGCCCCCAGGCCCCCAGGCCACTTACCCTATGTCCCCTCTCCCTAGTCCTGTGCCATGTCCCCAGGGATGGCTCCTAAAGGTCACGGCAGGCTGCGTTGGCTGTGGCAGGGCAAGGACAGCCCCCTGGAACACCAGCCCTCCTCCCTGCCTGGGCTCTCACTGGGGCATGTGCACCTGGCCCCTCCTCCAGGGTCCCCCCGGGTCCTCAGGACAGCAGGAGGTCTGGTGGGTGGCCAGGCTGTCCTGGAGCAGCCCTGCCATGGGGCGCCCTGGCCCCTTCCACCCTCAAGGCTGCTGGGCTGAAGTAGCGGGGTGCCCAGGGCTTGGGGTCTCCTTCTCCTGTGGCCACACTGACACCCCAGGGCCATCTCAGCATCACCCCCTCACCTTTCATGGGAGGAGGGTGGGCATGATGCCCTAGGTGGGGTCCTGACACAGGGTCCTCTTTACAGTCAGAACAGTCACATCTCTGCCATCACATGGCACCACTTATCAGTGGGTCTGAACTCTCCCTGAAGAAGAAACAGGATCTCTAGGTTTCACATAGGGACCTCCAACCTGCACATACGCTTCCAATGATCTGAACGTCATCAGTCACCCAGAATGAAGTGACACGTGAGTGTCCCAAGACCTGCATCTTAACACATAGCAGCTGTGTGACCTGAGTGAGCTTGTCAGACCTCTCTTACCGCAGTCTGGCTGGGCAAAATAACCCGGAGATGACAAGCAACTTGTTAAGGCTGAAGCAGGAACTGCTTTACTGAGGGACAGCAGAGGTGTATATACCTAACTGACTACACGCAGCTTGACTCAATTAGCATCATCCAGATACAGCAGTCAGCCAATAACGAGTCCCCACCATCTTAATGGCTCGGTGGCGTTGCCTCACAAACCACTCCTCCTGGCAAACTGCCAGGCGCCATCGTGACTTGATTGTGGCCCCCAACACTCTCTGAGCCCCTATTCCTCATTGGTGCCAGTACAGCCCGCATTGGAGCTGGCCTGGGAGTCACCTCAGACATGGCCTCAGGCCTCCCAGACCTCTGAATAGAGCAGGTGGGGACAAGGGCACTCCTTGGGCAGTGCTGTCCCAGTGTCTGTCCCCTGAATCCTAGTGGCAGCACCGTGATGCCCTCAGCAGATATCTGTGCTTTTCCAAGCCCCAAGGAGAAAACCGAGATTCACGGCGGCTACCTGTCTCGTATACTGTCACCGTCCCATGGCTAGTGAGTGGCAACCTGACCTCATGGCTCACCCTGTTCCTCCAACCCTCACCCACTCTTCTGTCCCTCCCTGGACTCATGAGCAGTAATTCCTCCTAAACCACGAGAATCGCTGGCACCTGTGCTTCGTGGCACCCGGTGCTTCCCTAGGAAGAGCCTGTGCTCTCAAGGAGTGGCCTCCCCCTGCCTCAGCAGCCCACAGCCCTGGGGAGCCGCCCACAGATCTCAATGTGGCCTCGCCCTGGCATTGTGTGGGAGAGGACAGGAGAGGACCTGGTCAGCTGCCACCTGAGGGTTCAGGGGAGGGAAGGGGAGGAAGAAGCCAGAGCCTCTGACCTCTGACCCCATCTTTCAAATTCTAAAAACTGTCATTAAAGGGCTTATGACTCTATTTGGGAGAATTAGCCCCAGAGGGGACTTCACCAGCTTGGTGGGAACCAGGAGGGACCCGCTGGGTGAGGGCAGAGCTTCTGGGCGGTCCTGCAGAGGAGCATGATGGCCTCAGCCCTGGGCTCTGGCTCTGCCTATCACAGACAACAGGGGCCTAAAGCCAGCGCTTGAAGGACTCAGGCTGGGACACTTTCCCAAATTACAGAAGGAACTGGGTCCCAGCTTAACGCGCCAGCCCAGCTGGGCCTAGAGGGCAGGGCTCCTCCCTGGTGGCCTGGCCACCCCGAGGCTCACACCACCCAGTCCACGCCTTGCAGACTCACATGCATGCCACCCAGGAAACAGAACCCCTGGGGACCCGGGTTGGGTAGGATCCGGTTACTCAGTCCCCTTTCTTTTTCAGAGTTGAGGCAGAGGGCCCTTCCTGCTTCAGCTGAGTCAGGTGGACTAGGGTCTGTTCTCAGGAAATGCTGCTCTGTGGGTATTTATCTGCTTCTTTAAGTTGTTTTCATTGTGTGGCATTGACCATGAGTGACACCATGTTGTGGCCTCCTGGGACCTGGTGCAGGAGCTCAGCCTAGAACAACTGCCTCCTTACTTGTTGTTCAATAGTCCACCCCTCAAGCCCAGGGTTAGGGGGGCCTGTTGAAACATCAAACACACACATGCCCATCTGGGGACAGATCATGAGGACAATGTCACCATGGGAGTGTTGCTCAGTGATGGTGGACGTCGGTAGGTGAGGAGGCGGGAACGGGATCAGTGGGCATCACAGAACCCTCCAGAGCCCTGAGAATATCACCAAGAGACCACACCTACCCCCAGCACCCACCTGAGGACTCTTGCTGTCGTCCTGGGTCAGCGTTCAGGGCCCCCACAGCCTGACCAGTACACAGTCAGACACGCAGCCAGGGCGGCCTCTGTGGGGACCTGAGTGGCTTCCTGGAGGCTGCTTGGTGGGTCTTCAGCACAGGAGTCAGAGGAAACTGCTCTCCCCATGGGCAGCTCCCTGCCCAGCCAGGTCACAAGTTGCCAAGAGGGCAGGTCACTGGAAATATCCATTCTGCAGTGTCTCCATGAAAACACAGTGACGGGGCCCTTTCTCTGGCCATGCCCAGCCCAGACAGCCTCCTGGGGCCCTGAGCTGGGCGGGGTGGGGCTCACCCACCTGCGTTGAGGGGGTGCAGCACTGGAAGCCCAGAGCCCCTCGAGCATAACCACATGCCCACACTGCAATAAAACCTGAAGTGCTCCATGTTGGTCCTTTCCCTCTAGTGGCTGTCCCCAGGCAGGGCACAGGGCTGTCAGTGGAGCTCAAAGGTGCCCACACAGGCCCTAGATGTATGGAGCTCTGACAGCCGTTGTTGGCATCACAGCAGTGACGGGTGCTGTGGCATCAGGAATGTCCAGAGGAACCACTGTGTGGAGGTCTCAGGCAGGGACGGAGCTGACGAAGCCTGTCTCAGCCTGGTCTACGGGTCACCAGGACAGCACAGGCCACTGTCCCTCCCACAGGAGCAGGCAGAGAGAGGAGGAGTCCACCTTGGATGGGTCAAGCCTTTAGCTGTGGGCTTCTTGGTGGCTGCAGCATGTCCCTCCCATTCTGACCAGTGCAGCCAGAGTTCGTGAAGGTCACTCAATCTTCACCTCCCACAGTGGCCTGGAATGAGCCTGGGACATGAGAGGCACAGGAAGCAGCGAGGACAGGCTGCAGGAGGCACTGCTCTAGGAAAGGCTGGTGACATGGGCTCAGCACATGCTCCTGGGCCCCTGGAGAGAAGGTGCCAGGAAGATGTGGGGGACACGGGTGCAGAGAAGGAAAGGCCAGCAGGGGCTGTCCCTCACCCTCCTGTCCTTGACCAATAGTTCTGGGGCTGCTAATTACTCAATGTCATCTGGGAACACTGTGAATCAACATAAAGATCAGGGATAACAAGTTTGTTTTTTTAAAAGAAATTTCCTGAGATAAATGAAAACACAGACACAACATATCGGAATCTATGGGACACATTGAAAGCAGTTCTAAGAGGAAAATTCATTGCGTGGAGTTCATTCCTTAAAAAAAGAAAAAAACAACAAATAAATGATCTCATACTTCATCTCAAAATCCTAGAAAAAGAAGAGCAAAACAACAGCAAAAGAAGTAGAAGGCAAGAAATAATGAAAATCAGAGCTGAAATTAATGAAATCGAAACAAAAGAAACAATTGAAAAAATTGACAAAACTAAAAGTTGGTTCTTTGAAAAAATAAACAAAATCGACAGACCCTTAGCCATGCTAACGAAGAGAAGAAGAGGGAGAACTCAAATTACTAGCATACGGGATGAAAAAGGCAATATCACAACAGACACTTCAGAAATACAGAAGATAATCAAAAATTATTTTGAATCCTTATACTCCAATACATTAGAAGATAGTGAAGGCATAGGTAAATTTCTTAAGTCATATGATCTGCCCAGATTGAGTCAGGAGGCTATAGACAACCTAAACAGACCAATATCAATTGAGGAAATAGAAGAAACCATCAAAAGACTACCAACTAAGAAAAGCCCAGGACCGGATGGGTATACGGCAGAGTTTTACAAAACCTTTAAAGAGGAACTAATACCAATACTTTTCAAGCTACTTCAGGAAATAGAAAAAGAGGGAGAACTTCCAAATTCATTCTACGAGGCCAACATCA